TGCTACTGCTACTGCTACTGCTATCCACGTTCTGTGCTTTGAAATGCATGGCTTCGTCAGCAACCGGCAAGATATCTCGATGAACGCGTGCCTACCGCACGATGCTGATGATGTTCGCACCGTGCAAGGCAAGGAGCCTCGGGCCAGAGGGCAAGTGTCTGTTCGGTGCTGAGTCTCCTCTGCCAGAAAACCCCCCACAGTCTCGTTTGGAGTTTGGTAGAATTTGGTAGAATGAAGCAGCCTGAGAAGCTGGCCATGCTTCTGCGTTCGGTAGTTAGGGCCTGAAGCTATGCTTCCTTGCTTGCTCGCCCTCTATCGCTCGCTCGCTCTCTCCCACTCTTACTCTCTCCCTGTCCCTCCGTGCCTTCATGCGGCTGCACCGACCTCCATGAGCCGATAAATCGTGACTCCTCTCACAGTACACATGCCGCTGTTCGAATGCTAAATTCGCGTGATCTCGCCGCTCGACCAAGCATGAACACGAGGCAAGAAGAGAGCTCTAACTACTGTTTCTCCAGCTTGGTTGTGCGAGCGAGGGTTTTCTTGTGATGATGCAGTGCAGCGAGCAGCCAGTTTATCAACATGAGGCATGTCAGTGACATTCGTCGTCGATGGTCTCACATTGACGTCCTAGATAAGATCCTACTGTATTTGGTGCAACTTGCCCCTGCCTCATTAGGGAACTGGCTGCTGACATTATTTGTATATCCCACCTCTGGTGCCTGGGCTCCAGGCAGGCGCTATGTGATAAGCGAGACGTTGTGCACGCACAGATTGACGGGGGTGACGCAAACTGCTTTCAAGGTCGGGGGTGTTGTTCAAGCTGATTGCAATTCGCCTACATCTTCGAAGGACCAGCCTATCCTTCAACTTGTTTTGCTTGGAAACGCATGTGGTATTGGTGGTCCTACTGTCAGTTTGACGGCAGTCCAAAGCTTCAAAGCTTCAAGTGTCAAGCTTACGGATTCCTGGCCTCAGTGATTGGCTACAGCCGAGTGTGTTAAATATGCTGCCGCATAAGGCTGTCGTCAGGTGCATGCAAGGTGCAAGATCCCTAAATCGGACCCCAGTGCGAATCTTGCAGAAGCATTGGCATAAGGATTCATTGCGTGTCAGACCTCTTGGCGATCAGAGTGTGTGCCTAACAGCCCTTCTGTTCAGGCTTGCAGCAAGATGCATTGAGTTGTGCATTGCAACACTCCCTGCTTCAAGCCACTTTGACCGCACATCCCACGAAGCGACTGCAAGCTTTCTCCAGCAACTGCGTCGTGACCCTCTGCACTGCACAATTATTGGATCTTGTGTTCTCGAGTTTGAAAACGAGTTCATGAACGTGCTTCATGCTGAGATCATTGATGCATGGGAACAAATCGCAAGCATCATGGTTAGTCCGGGTGACACCAATGCATGGGTATCACCATGCAAGGCCAAACAGGCAGGATCCTTCCAGCAGTTGCCCCATGCATCATGGACACATTATAGAAATGGCAGAAGCGTCCGAATCCCGTTGCTTGCAAGCAGACATGCGCTGTTGTTTGCATGCAAGCATATGCACATCAGGTTTGGAACCGCGCCGGGATGCCAAACCAAAGGGATTACCATGGGTTCCAGTGTGGGGGGGGGGGGGGGGGGGGNNGGGTGCTGTGTTTCGCTTGGTTCTCTTGGTGCATGAAATGAGGGCGGTTTTAGGCGACCAGCCTGCGCCAAAAGTCGTCAGCACAAGATTGCCCGGTTTACATGCACTATGTCCGTGTCTTCATCGTGGCTCCACTGCCCTATTCATTACAAGGCTTGCAGGATGCTGCCAATGCGGTCCTGACATATGTCTACCCGCACCATTATCCCATGAAGCCTGACAGTGTGAATCCGTGCATTGGGTTTGAGCTCGTGTTTGGACACCAACTTCATTGGACGGCACGCAAACAGAAGGATTGACATGTGGATATGACGACAAACCTAACTTGAGCGCACCGTTCTTGTCTGCACAACCTGTGCAACAGAAACATGCCATCGTTGTTGGGGCATTCTCGAGATGCAAACAGCTCATCTGCTCCACGCATTGGGCCATGGTGTCACTTGCAGATGTTTGTTACAAGTTCACATGTGATGCTGGCTGCCCAGACAAGCTGATCTCCAGATGGTTGAAAGATTGGTGCCTTACAGTGTACGGTAAGCAAGGGGTACAGCTCCACAAGGATGTGCTCGTCAGGATGGGCGGAAGCGAAAAAGATGAAAGCTCCTTTCACAGAGACTCATTCCTGTCAGATGCCGTGTTTCTCCCAGTTGGAACAACCGATTGAAATGCATCTAGCACTACTGTCAAGAGAATGTGATTGTGTATGTCTACCTGCACTGCCTGCCATCGCACCGTAGGGGACTGAGCGAAGAAAGCGTCCGATGCCAGGGAACAGACGGCGCACATGTTTCGTGAATGTGTTCTGATGCTCATGACGGTCCGATGCACGTAAGGTTTCATTTATGCTTATGTTGTCGACGGCGCAAACACATGTCGTCTTGTTCAACTGTTGCGACTTGCACTCGCTTGTCGATGAGTACGGTAACTGTTTGCACTTGCTGTTCCATTCAGTGCTACGGTGGCGTGTTGAATGCACATGTTGACAAGTCATGTTTTCGAGTAACGGGTTGCAGACACATTGTGGGGTGAAATGCTTGCACATGTCGTTGCTGTTTTGACTTGTCATGCCGTTATGTGCGGGGCATCTGTAACATATGACCACACACACATCACCTGTTGCTAACAAGAATGTGCGGTCACCGAGCTTCAGATTTGTTGTGACTGGTCTTCGGCCACCCAGACAATTGGGATTCTGTTTGTATTGCCGTATATCCGGATTTAAGTGTGGCAACTAACCAGCAGCGCCCGGCAGGGATGAGTAGCAACAGTTGCTTGACCACACGGGGCTCCCTGCCAAACGTAATCAAATGGGGATCTCCGCTACTGGCAGCAGTGATCCAGGGCATGTGCCAAAGCCCTTGGCTTGTGCTGAATGTTCCTGCAAATAACTGACACTGTTCAAATATCCGGGCATATCCGGGCATATGCTTGAATTTAGAGTAACGCTTATTTGTTTACCAGGAACATTCCGAAGCCCTGCAGATCCTGGCCAGCTTCCGAGAACGAGAAGCTGCGCGAGTCCTGCCCCCACACTTTACGACAACAGCGGTGAAGAATAACTAAGTCACAAAAGAGATGACGGGTTGCAACCTGCCGCCGCCGCTTTTTCACCACGATCGTCTCCCTGCCTCATCCAGGACCGCGGGAGGTGGAATCCATGGGCCCCTGTCAAGGCTGCAGATCCCAAGTCAGCTCTACGGCCAACCCCTCCCGCCTGGGCGCAGTAGCGGCTGCAGGAATCTCGGGTAATCGCTGGCAATACGGGCAGTGATGCCTGTGGCCGCATCTTCAAGAGAGCAAGCACGCTGTTCGTGTTCCGCTTCTCTTGGCGGTTTCGGTGAGGGACCAACCAGACAGGGCGCTTGAAACACTTCCGCTCTTGAGCTCCGAAGCTAAAAATCCAGAAAGAGCCAAACATGTCCAAAACCGAACCCCCATGCCCAATACCAAGTTAAATTGCTACTTCACAAACGGAGCACGGGAGAACACGATAACCAGCTCTCCATAGAAAAAGAAATTGTCAAGCAGTTCAAGTCCGCTTGCCAACGTTGTTTTGCTTCGGGGCTCCAACGCTTGCCCGGCGCACAGCCGCTACGTAGCCATACAGTGGCACCGCGCCAGTTGTATTGAGAGAAGAGACCAGACATGATCAGATACAGCACACATCAGAACACGACACGGTCCATCGATAGGAGCGAGGATGGCCGAACTGTCGACACAGCTGGAAGCACCGATGAATCTGACATGCGCACACGAGGATGCAATTGCCAAAGCAGCCAAACACCCGAGGCATCCCAGAGCATAACATGCAGTGCGAAAGCATCGGGAACACTGTGCGAACAGATATACAAGGAAGCCAACGTCGTGTATGGCATGGCTTGTTGTGACAATGCATGAAGGCAGGGAGAAGCAGGAACCCGCACACCTGTCGGTAGATAAGCTGTGTTTCAAGGTAAATGGGCATCGCAAGAAAAGCGTGCCGGTCCAAAGATGGGTTTCTGCAGTCTGGTACACCGCAAATCCTGATGCAACAGAAGTGCTTCACGGTTTTGAAAGCCAGTGCGACTTGCCTAGTCGAATGCGAGCACTCCTCTCACCTCTCACCCTCGCGTTAGGGTTGCAACGTCTGCGGACAAGGCACAGAGATGACACACAGGCAGGCTCTTGGTCGCTTCGGCAGGCCAGATTGCGCAAGTCCTGAGCACCGGCACAACATGGCACAACGGAGCAATCCAGATCCTCGCGCTGTGCATAGGAATGTTGCTCCGCCTGGGTAGATGCCAAATGGAAATGCAGGGCACGGAATCCGACAGTCTCCTGCTCCAGCCGAGTGTCATGCAGCCCTGGCTCGCACCTAAATTGTGCTTGTCTGATCTTCAGAGCTGCTTGAAGTATGTAAAACATAGAGCATGCGGAGCCACACGACGTGGAACAATCGCCCTGACCACAGCTGTCACGTACAGGACATCAAAGGCCAGGCTTTACTACAGCGACAGTAAGTGAGCTGTCACCGCTAGCTAGCAGTGACGGCTCAAACAACCTGACAGCCTTGAAGTGCGGGAACGGGGAATGTACCAGATTACCAATATCAGAAACCGCTGGGCTCCTCAGGTCCTCAGAAGCTGTGATGCACGCTGAGACACGAATGTTTCCAGGCGTGGGGCGCCCGTGCCGCCGCATAGAGCTGCTCCAGATCGGATTCGATGAGGGACAGCGACGGCCGTGGTATCCTCAAGCAAGGCGACGTGGCGACCCTCGCCTTACCTTCTAGAATTTGGCCTGGTCTGACATGCAGATCATCGGCTTCGTGCTGGAACAAGAAGCTGGCCAGCCGGCGCGGGTTCGTTGATCAGTCTTCGTTCGTGGTAGATATCTGCGCAACGCGGGGCTTTTTTCGTCATCGCGTGTGGCGCTGCTGTATCCGTCTAGATGACCAACTACGGGACGCTGCAAGTGCCTTGTGCCAGCCCGCCTTTTGTGCCGCGGGCACTTCGCTCGCGGCTGCCTTTGCCGGCAGCCTGCCAATATCGCTCTGAACCTAAGCTGCCTCTTGCTCACGCTGATTTAGCCGGGTGCCTCATCCGACACGCTGCTTGGTGCCACGGAGTAGGCGTCGATCTCATCGTGGGGGACCACCCTGCCTGGACAACGTGCGAGCTCTCCGAAAGGGCTCAATGTACGTTTCAACAGACGCCTTCCTGGCTGGCCTGTTCTGGACAAGCATGGAAACACAGTCTGAATGTAAACACTCTGAGTCTCATTGGCTGAATACGAAAGACGAGAATCTTTCGGATGACAACCTGGCGGCCTCTGCAACCTATCCCGATTCCACTCTGCCTGAAATCTTACGTCGGACGGCCACTGGCTCCTCTGGCCTGGCCGGCAACAATTGGGCACACAATTGCTGGCTAAGCAGGCGTGCAGCAAGGGGTAGATGACAGTTCGGACAAGTGGCCGTGCACAGACCCAAGCTTCAGGCGGCTGCGGGAGTCGCGGGAAGCATGTTGGCTCCTGTCGAAGCAGGAAGCAAAAGCGAAGAGGCGAAGAGAGGCGAAGAGGTTCCGCCAGTCCTGGCGGCCCTCCTCACTCGGTAGCATCGGTTGCCTGTCTGTGACAGAAGCATTGCCTCGGTTCTGGCGGGCCCGGGCCATCTTGCTTGAAGCCACTGTAAGCTGCAAGCACCGGTTCGACTGGCCAATGCCCTGCCAAGCTGCCCTCGCTGTGGGAGAATGAAGCGGACATGCTGAGGGATAAAGCGCTCTTATCCTGGATGGGGCATCAAGAGCTTGCTAGTATCATCTCACATCGCCTCGAACCCTGCTGTCTTTAGTCCCTGCCCCCTGGCTGTCCATGCAGGTCGATTCGGTTGCCGAGCTCTTCGTCGGGAACATGACCGGCGGACTGGCACAACCAGTCTCTTTAGAGGTTACGCAGCCACTGTCAGCAAAGGGGACTCTGTACCTCCGGGACACGTGGAAGTCAGAGTGCACCATGGCCATCCCATGAATCATCTCATCCTCGAGATTTCTAACATTATGCGTAAAGTATTGCAGGCCCATCGTGCAGCGAGAGCATGGGCACATATTGCCTAAAATCCGTAGAGCATAGCACTGGAATCGGCCGGACATGCTTGCATGCAAGATGATGTTTATCCTGTCATGTCTTAGCAGAGGTTGCGCTGCAGGAGTATGCTCGGCTAACTTCGATTCGATCGGCTGCGGTTTTGCAGTTCGCTGAACAAAGGCATTTCCAACAACGGAGTCGACTTGACTTCAAGCACGGGAGCTTCTTAATATGTCGAGCTAGTTTACCGCAGCAGCAAACTGCAAAACTGGGGCAGGCGGCATGAAGCTGTCAATAAGAAGCCTCAGCAACGGGGGTCGATGTGCCAAGATCTTCAAACTGGGCTGTGACATATCGACACTGGCTGCAAGCCCGCTGGCTGTAGATCTATGAATGACAGGACCCCATGCTGATGTGCTGATGCTTGGTTTCGGGCAAATTCTACGCATACGCCAATTGCGCAGGCAGCCTGAATGACAAATAACGAGTAGGCTGGGAAACAGATCGGAAGGAATCATGTCGTTATGACTCTCCAGCTTTTCAGCAGGCACCCCTCCACAACATCCTACCATGGGCATACCACCATCCTCCAACAGACACTGTCAAGACGATGAGTGCAGATGTGCGATGCCGCCGGTCACCTTGCCCTCTTCGACAGTCTTGCTCAACCGAGCATGAGTTCTTCAAAGTCGTTGGTGCTCCATGGTAGTTTGCAGGCAGACTATGCTCAATCTGATGGGCAAGCCCGAAATGAGCCCCACCAAGCAACTACCTGCAGAAGACCGGTCGTGGCGCGCAGACCCATGTTGTGAGTTTGTATGCACTTCACTTGTCAATATGGGCCGCGTCGTGGGCCTCGCATCGGCGTCAGCCATGCCCGGAACGCATGCAAACTTGATGACTGGTGTGCTTCAATGTGCTTCAAACCTCTCCGTGGATCTACCTGCTTTAGTGAAGTATTGTTGTGCTTCAAATCTCTCCGTGGATCCTTCTTGAACCCAGACTCAAACTCTGCATCAGCTGGGAATCGGCAGCCTTCATGACTACTGCATGTCAGCTAACCACATCAACCAATCCACTTCTGCTTTGTTTTAAAGGTGGAGGAGCACTGGGTCTACTGCTTCAGCGAAGTATTGCTTGCTTCAGATGTACCTGCAGCCAGGGAGCTCATAATGGAAATGTATGTGACAGATGAATGTTTAGGGCAACATCCGAAAGACTAGGACTAGCCTGCAAAATCCAGATGACCAGTACAATTAGCTTAGACACTGCCATTTAAAGCCCAACCGTTCAATCTCGTGAGATGTTTTCTCGTCGCACTGCCCAAAGCTCACCGTCTAAGTCCCGGGCGTAGACTGCAAGTCCAACCGGCATGGAAACATGCCAGCAGGTAAGTCTTATTATAACAGTACATGAGTATCTGTCCGTCCGATTCTGAAAGCTGCATTCCTTGGGAAAGCAGCTGTCAGTCAAATTTCGTCAGTGAGTATGAGTAGCGGGCACACCGACACCCTGGCCGGTAGGCCCGCGCTAGCCACTCACAATTCCGTGCAGGACGGCGCAGCCATCCACGCCGCCGTTGAAGGAGCTGAGGGACCCGAGGGAGGATGAGCTGGTAACAGAGCCTATGCCGACCGGCTGGCGTCCAGGCCCAGGCAGGGGCGACCAGAGGATGCGGGCTAATGCGCCCACATTGACCTGAGGGACTGCAGGAGGGGAAGGAGGAGGCGGAGGCTGCAGCCCGGCCGTGAACAACCAGAGATTCGGCTTAGCAGCTGTCTGCATACTCGAGCAAAATGGACGGGGAATTAACCGATCTGCGTTCACTGTCCGCAGCATGTCCCAGGACTGTGATGCTGGGGACGATATGTCCCTTGGTGAAGGCGTTGTGAATCTGCCAGGGCTGCTGGGTGTCTCCGGAACCGACCGATCCACATTGGCTCGCCGCGGCGTGTTCTGACACTGCGATCGTGGTGGCGAGATGTCCGGCCGTGGGAGAGTGGCAGGGCTCCCGGGTGTCGCGGGAACCAGTCGATCTGCGCTGAATCGTCGTGGCGTGTGGCATGACTGTGATTCTGGTGACATAGTGAATCCGCCAGGGCTCCTGGGCGTCGTAGGTGCTGAAGCCACTCGTGGCGCAACGGCCGTGAGCTCCTGCAGGAGACGGTCCTGACTGTTACTCACGGCTGCCTGCCACGTCAACTCCCTCAGCAGCGAGCTCGTTTGATGGTGTTGCATGTCCAGCTCTCTCATTCGCTCCATGATCTCCTGATGGCGTTGATGACGTGCCTCGACTTGTTGTCGCTTGTGGGCGAGCCTCGCCTCTCTCTCCTGGCGCTTGCCTTCCAGCTGCTCGGAGTGGGCACGGAGACGGGCATCCATGTACTCGGAACGAGCCCTCCGCCGCTCGGCAGATGCGGCCCTCTGACGGACAGCCTCTTGCTCTACCATCATTCGTCGTTGGGCAGTCATCTCCTGCTGGAGAAGCCTCCTCTTGACCTGCTCGGTCTGCAGAAGGCTTGCCTTGTAGATGTTATCGGCAATGCGGGCATCACGATGGCTCGCGATTTCTTGATTCAGCACTTCTTCGTCGGCCCTCTGTCGGGCTATGAATTCCGACTTCGATTCAGCTGCTCTAGCTTTTGCCTTCGCTGACGCAATCTTCTCTTCTGTCTGGGCCCTGATGAACTGTTGGGCTTGTTGTCGGCGGCCACGTATTGTCTGCATGCGGGTCTGAATCTCTGCCTTTTTCTGAGCAGTGAAATTTTCTTGCCAGTCCCTGCGAGCAGTCTCCTTGTTTTCATGCTTTGCCCTCATCTCTTGGTAGTGCATCTGCTGCATCCACAACGCCCGATGCCGTGCCTCCTCCTTGGCCAGCCACTTCTCCTTCGAACACAGTGCCTTTTCAAACTTGCACTCGGAGAAGCTTCGGCCTTGAACAAGCATGTCGCCTGCCCGCAGATCCCGCTCCCTCGAGCTGGGTTTGGGACGGCTTGAGCCCGAAAGTTAAAGCAGCGTAGAGGCATCCAGGCACGCGGCACGACGCACTCCGACTAAGTTGTGGCCGCTCGTTTCGGCTGTCCCGCGCACTGGGATGTTCAAGAAACTTGCTCGTGCCTATGGTGCTTGGCACGGCTGGCAGAATATGATCTGGGAAAGGCTGCAACCCATTCAGCTAGAAGCTTGTCCAGACCAGAAGCATGTTGCATTTCAAGCATAACCGGACTTAGCTGGATCGATTCATTAGCAGACCCTGGCAGACAACTGTATGATTGCAGCATGGTTAACAGCATCTGCAAGCGGCCTATGGACACGAAGGAAACATGTAACGTTCTTCTGCGGGCTGTTCTGTTGTGTGCTGGCAGCCATAAATCAAGAAACACATTTTTTCCGAGCAGGCGCCTCCACCCGGCCGCAGGTGTTGCGAAACTCTTGAAGCCCTGGCGTGCGCTCCCAGGGCCTGGATGCCGCAGTTGATTGTGTTCTCCAGATTCAGCTCAGACTGCAGGCATTGTGCGGCGAAGCTCATGGCTAAACTCAGTGGGTCCATCAACTCTAGTTTTGCGTCGAGCAGATGACCCCAAAACCAAGTACGAAACAACTGCGCGGCTGTTCCTGTCTAGGGCTTCGTTTAGCGCGGTGGTGATGAAGGTCCGCAGCGCCGCTTTTTTTCTAGACAGTTCCTCTCTGACATACACAGCACTCAGGTCACTAGGGTCCAAATCCTCGCAATAAAGGCGGGTGCGGGGAGTAACGGAAACCGATCTTGCACACTTGTAACAAACAGGCAGCCGCAGCAACAGTAACCATACGACCAGCACAACAGGAACTACCACCGGAAACCGGGCAGGAGGCTTTTATGCTCGCAAAGTAGGGGACCCCAGGGGCATGCAAAGGAGGATTCTAAAGCCTACAGCGTGCTAACGCCTGCGTAGACTCTGAGCCCAAACTACGAAACCCTGCACTGCAAACCCTAAGGCCAAAACTGCAGTTCCTGTTACAAGGTGCTGTCCCCACCCTGTTGCAGGAACCAGCTGGTTTGCGTTACGATTTCGGGGTAGGTTTCTGTTACGCGGCTCTGTTACGGTCGGCCAGTTCCCGTTACGGCAAATACTCCAAAAAACTCATCTCAGCATGGCCCAGGATCATCCAGGTCATCCCTAAGCAATGACATCTTAAACCAGGGTGCCTTGGCTCGCGGCCCTCGATCCAGGGCCGGACGGCCTGCGCTTGCAAGGCCCTGTCGATCACTAGACATGCAGCTACGAGCGAAAGCAACAAACATGGAACTAGCCTCAGCGGACTCGCGGCTGCATGGGTCTAAAACTGCGAGCGACGAACCTAGCAGTGTCACATCAACTTTCGTCACCCTTTTTGAAGCAGACTGGTGAGCGGCCTAACCGGCGGGATTCTGATATCTCAGCTGGGTGCGCAGGTCTTTCGGCAAGGACTCTGAGTACTCGTGACTCTGCGCCTGGCAAGATGGAAATCTGGTGATGGCGCCTACGGCCCCAGGATCCGTACCAGCCGAAGAAGCCTTACAAGCAAAACAGCAGCAACGGCTGCAGCTCCCTTCCAGGCCTGGGAGTCTGCCCACTGCAGGCGAAAGCAGTGCATGAACCTGGGGTGATGGGCAGGCTTCCTCTGCTACTCATGTTCGTTGGCCATTTGTTTCCGTCCAATCATCCCATCCCCGGCTCAATGTCAGCGACCTTTTCGTTCGACCAAGTCAGGATGGCTGGGGGGAGGTAGTAAGCCGAACCGACTCCCCATCCAAAACCTAGCGGCCTTTTCGACCTCCATAAGAGGGCTTGGCTATATTCCGTGAACAGGGAGTCTCATGCACAGCTCGCGTGGTATGTACAATGCCCATTTGACCCGAATCCAGCCGCTTCCGCTCTGTCAGGCTCAGGTGCCACAGAGCAATAACTGACGCAAAATGTGTCGTGATAAGGCGTAGAACAAAGCAGATTTCATCGTCACTGGAGTTATAGTATTTGAAATTGTGCTGTCGGCCTCTATCCAGAAATTTACACTCTTCCTAGGCCTGGATCGAACGGCTGCTGTGGGCAAGGAGAAAGCAAAGAGTCGAATCCGAGGGTCTGATTTAAAGAAGGGGTCACATTCAAAGAACATTTTTCGGGCCCGGATTTGGCCGGAAGAGGTGTTTCAATTGCGCCTGGATTTCGTCTGAAGAAAAGGTACCACATTTAAAGGAGATTATGTTGGAGGTGAAGGTCCCGGCTGTGGCTGCAGTCTTTGCTTTTGTTTGCTTGCTTCTCTCTTACAGAAGCAAAGCTTCCGGGACCCGGGTCTCTCTTTGTAATAGAGATTCAATACATTCCTACTGTCCTTAATAGATAGTTCAAACGAGCCCCAAACACCCAAGAGATGGTTTTGCATTAATGCGGCCCCC